TTAAATAGGAATATATAATATACCCTGTTCTTTACTTTGTTGTACTGGTCAAAAAAAAGTCAAAACAGCAAGAAAGCTGGGAGGAAAACTGAGAGGAAACTTGAAGGGAAAACTGCCCGCTAACAAAATTTAGTGGCCCGAAAAAGGAAAACAAATTTTTGGGGAGCAAGAAAAAGTACAAGTAGAGGAAGCATTAGCCCAGAAATACTTGGCCGAAACGAAAAGGAAATTTTTTGGTTGATACTAGCATTTTTGTGTTTCCTTCTTTTTTGGTTATTTACGACTTTCTGGTTCAGAGGTCAACCATCGCACTTAAAAATGTCATTTTGCATTTTGTTTGGTTTAAAGGGGCAAAAGCGAGATACCAACTAAAAACTCTTTCGGAAAAATGCAACAGACAAAAGGCAACAGAAAGGGCTACCAACAAACAAAAAAAAGTGGCACAAGTCTAAGGATATGGATGAGGTCCTTTAGCCAACTGGTAGCCAAAAACTGGGTTACATTTTCCCATCTACATGGAAATGTTGTTAGCAGGAAGTTTGGCTGGCTTAAACAAGAGAAAAAAAGAGCTCTGAACAAAAATGCATCATGCAGGACTGAAAAATTGGTAACGAATAGAAGATACTGTGTAAAACACGTTTCTAAATGATAATATGGAAAAATATATATACTTAATGATCAGAATAATTTATAGTTAACGCATAGCTTTTATTAAAAAGGGGTTGATTATTTACTAATAATGTATCTGATAAATAAATGTACTGTGTAAAACACGTTTCTAAATGATAATATGGAAAAATATATATACTTAATGATCAGAATAATTATAGTTAACGCATAGCTTTTATAAAAAGGGTTTGATTATTTACTAATAATGTATTCTGATAAATAAATGTTCTATAGTCTTAAGGACATTTTTTACAATATTTCTCCTTTAAGTCAAAGCCTAAACTACTCTTGAACATAATTTTTCTGAGTATGTCACCCAAAAAGAAGGAAAGTTCACTTCCACTTTTTTTTTTCCCCCATTTCGTTTTGGGTCACTGGCACGCCCACAGAAAATGCGGACCCGCCTACTTTCGCTTGTCGCTGACATAAATAATAACTTGAAATGCAATTTGTGTCGATTTTGTGTTGTGACTTGCACAAATCTCCTTTAGCTTTTCGCCAGCGACAAAAGAAAATAATAATAATAATACTGGCAATAAAAGCAAATACATTCTCACATGAGCACTTGGGAAGTGAAAAAGGAAAAGCTGTGACTACTTTTCGCCGCTTGTCATAAATCATCAACACAACGCTCCACTTAAGTGCTTCTAAAACAGTTTTCTCCCAAAAAATTTGGCGCCTCCCCGATTGCCACGCCCCTCTTTCGGACACCACTGACCAGAGAGGAAATGGAACGCCCACTTTAGCCAAAAAGTAAGCTTGAACCTGTCAACTACAGGCGGAATACTAAAATATTAGCCAACAAAACAAACAAAACAACAAAAATATAAATGAAAAAGCTAAATAGACAGTTGGTTATAGAATAACAATGACACAAAATAAACAAAATGTCGTAAATGTTTTGAAATACACAAAATATACAAAAACACAATGGAACGACGAGACCAGAATGAAAGCTCCTCTCTTTGGACAGGAATATGAATAGAAATCTGAGCCAAATGGCAATTGGAAATGAAAAAGATTAGAAGTGGAAATGCCGTCATGAATGAATGGGGAGAAAAGAGCACATCAATAAAAATAGAAGCTTGACTGCTGCAGTTGAGAGGCCTCAGAAAAAGGAGACAAGAGAAATGAACAGAACAATGAATATATATTCGAATAATGAAAATGGGGAGTTATGAGTGCAAGATAAGCAACTGAGTTTGATCTGCCTGCAAAAAGCATTCAATTTCAAAGAAGCCCAACGAAGAACAGACTCACAAAAAAATGAGCAATATAATGTCTATTATCTGATGTCTGATTTTATAAAAATTTAAAATCGAATAACAATTTTAATCAAAAATTCGAAATTTGAATAAAATATTTGTAGAGAAATATTAATAAAAAAAACTTATATTCGTTTAAAACTAACCATATTTTCAGGCAATCAAGCTTAAATTCTTTTTGTATTTTACCCTTATATTTATGCTAATATTTTAAATGGAATTCAATTTAAATTAAAAACAAATTGATGAAATTCTTGAATAAAGCTGAATTTCTCTCGGCTATTTAAGTAAATCTAAAATATATGAAATACCATAAACCTTAAACTCTTCGATAAAGGCACATTTATATATATTATGTAATTCAAAAGGGGAGGAAGTGTGGATGATCTCTCCCCTCCACACATTTTTACCCCAATCTCCATTAGCAAAGCTCAAGGCTATTGAAATTTCTGCTCAAACACAAATAGCGAACAAAAAGCAATTTGCTGATGAAATGAAATGGCAAATGCGAGGCAAATGCAAGTGAATGCAATTAAAAGGGGAAGAGAAGGAGACATGGAAAGACACATATATGCACATATATATAAGCTTAATATTTGTGTTCTGGCTAGACCAATATCTCATATTAATTTGTCTGCAAGTCTCTCCACTCTCATTTACATGCAAGGGAAGATAAAGTTTTGGTGCAGCTTTCGGCTATTTACCGCAACAAATTCGAGTGTAATTTATCGGCTAGAGAAGAGCTTGGAATAAAGAGAGATAACAATTGTACAGTGGTCATTCGAAAGAAAGAATATTTGTAATGTTCAAGAAATAATTTATGAAATAATGCAAAAATTTTTTATTTAGTTAATTTGTTTAATTTAACCAAAAATAATATTAATTTTGATAGCCAAGGAAGATAGTAATATAGGAAATGATTAGATTGACACTCCTGTGATATTAATAACAAATTCGAGTGTAATTTATCGGCTAGAGAGAAGCTTGGAATAAAGAGAGATAACAATTGTACAGTGGTCATTCGAAAGAAAGAATATTTGTTATGGTTAAGAAATAATTTTGAAAAAGTAAAATATTTATTTATTTAATGAATTTGTTTAATTTAATCAAACATAATATTATTTTAACAGCCAAGGAAGACACTACTGTGCATATTAATCGTTAAAAACTAAACTTTTAATTATAGGGTCAGAGTAAAACGTTAAAAGGGTAAACAAATAATATACACATTTTCATAAATTTATAACAATGGTAAGAAACATTTCTTAATTAACTCATATTGTTTTTATATCAACACGTCACTCACCCTTGCTTATTCCCGTGGCCTTATCTCTTAGCACATTGATCGAGTGCACTGGGCCGTATTCCTCAAACATCTCACGCAGCTGCGACTCATCCATCGACTTGGGCACCTGGCCGACAAACATTTGATGTTATCCGGATCCGGTTCCTTTTCGCCATACGTGACCACGGTGGTGTCCGTGTCCAAACGGAAGCACGAATCATCGTCCATGCTCACGACATTACGATTGGCGCTGCATGGATTGTTGTTGTTGTTGTTCACCAGTCCGGCGGCGGACATTATACCGTTACTGCCAACGGCCACCAGTGAGTTGCTGCTGCCCAAGCTTGGATTGTTGTTGTTGTTGCCCCCGTTGATGCTATTATTGCTGCTACTAGTGTTGTTGTTGATGTTCAGCAGAGTTGGATTATTGTTGTTGCTATGTATGGGGCTATTGGGCAGGCTGTTCGTTGCACTGCTGCTCTTATCGCTCATACCAAATGCACTGCAAAAGAGAGAGGTGAAAGAGATAGAGTGTAACAGTTAGTACAGTGATCACTTGAAATAATGGCTGTTTAGAGGAGGAAATTATTATTTAAAATACAGTATTATTGTTTTTCTAGAGTTTTGCATTTAATTTAATATATTGAAGTTAATCTGGTTATAATAAAATTTGTGTTTATATATTTTTATTTAATATGCTGTCTAGGTCATCACCAACCAATCTTCACTGTAACTTTAAAATGTACAGCTAGGATTCACCCACTCTGAAACCAACAAGCTTTAACACACACACACACACTCAGATAGAAACTTACTCCAAGTACAAATCGCTGTCGTTTTTCTCAGAAAAATCGAAAATCATGCGGCGATTTGCCAAAAACGAAGAGCGACTGCTGAACATATTGCGATCTCAAAATACAATTGTACACGGTCGACGCGAATAAACAACTAATTTAGCGGCTGCACGATATTCAGGCTAATTGCACTATCAAAATACCACTACCAATACGTTTACTGTTAACGCGCACGGACACTCGAGGTCGAATTGAAGAAATGTTTAAATTAAGGGCCTAAATAAATACTTCCACTTAACACGGGCGACACTCTCGGCACTCGGAACTGAACGTGACTAATAAAAAAAGTAAACTATATATTCAAATATATAAATGCAGCGTCTTCGTCGTCCACTCCTTCCTTGAACTTCCTACAAGAGCAATCGTCGATGGACAAATGAACGAGAAACTAAAGATGAGGAGGAGATGTGGCTAAGTGGAAGCTATTCTTCCAGAAGCTTCCAACCAAAGCGTGGGAGAAGGAGGGAGAGATTTAAGATCAATACTGAAATAGAACCGAATAAGACAGGTGGCTTGGCTGTAAGTAAAGCTTTAAGCACAATAGAGCGAGCGGGGGAGAAAGAGAAACTTGGAGAGAGGTTATGCTTAGCCAAAGAACAGCATTTACATATTTTAATCCCCTGCAACAGAACTTTATAAATAAACACTTTGCAAATTTAATTATGTTAACTAATATTACATATGGAAGAAAACTGGAATCAAATATATTAAATGATTTTATTATCTATTTTTTTCTTTATTGAATTTTTATTTTTATTATTGTAAGTCTTATTTATTTGTGATTGTATTAATCGCATTAAATATTATACTTTACAGGGTGTGGGTATTGTGTGTGTGCATAAGCTTAATTATGTGTAAGGTGATATATCGTGATTTGTTCTTTATCCTCAAGTGAACATTAAAGGAAATGCAGGGGACTTAAAACAACTTTGATTTCGGCTTGAGTGAACCGTTCTTGTTTGCCTTGGCGATTTTCTGGGCGAGTAAGCCTCAAATAGCATTAACCTAATGGCCATTTGCTTGTGTAAATAAACGATTTTAGCTTTCGAATGGAATTGGGTCAGCGAAAACGCGATGAGCAAACACTTGGACAAGGACCTCTATACCACACACCTGATGATTAAACGTTTGCTGTCTGCTTACAGGTACAATTGCGGTCAGCATAATAGCAATAGTAACATATAGTGTTATGTGGCAACTAAAATTTGTCTAAGACACTTAAGTGTGTTTAGGATGATTTTTATGAAATAAATATTTGATATGTACCACCATCTTTAACCAGAAAATATATTATATGTATATAGATTTTTATTTATATATAAAAACATCCCTATTTGTTAGGCTCAGCTGTATGTGTTTGACTCAAATGAATTAGTCCAGAACGAAAGATAGGATGGGATCGGATAACAGGGCGTGGCACTGAAGGAAGTGGACTTCCAGGCAGACAAATGGATAATGGCAACGTTTGCTTTTTTGGTCGTAATTAGAAATTTGGGTCGACGTTGAGAAATCGAAAGGTGGAATTAGCTCATTTGCATGCTTAAAGCTTTTACATAAAACATTTCGCTATAAAAGAATTAAATTAATTAATTAAGTTATTAAATACGTAAGTTTTCGTGCTGCGCTAAAGATTTCATTAAAATTTTTTTGTTTTTAACGTATATATTATTATGAATATTACTCATACGCAGTGTTGTCAATTTTAAAAGGTATTGTGCTTGACTTTTTAAATAAGAATATTTAACTTTTACAAGAAAGGAAAGGAAATAAATCGCATTCTTCCAATTTGGGTCAATAATCAAATTTTAAAATACTTATAACTAAGCCAAACAATCCTTAATTTCAATTCGGAAAGCTGTCCTATGTTAGTTTTTACTCCGTTAATAAATATGAGTACTCAATATAAAATATAAAAAATTGAAATTATTATCAATTTTTTTTTTACGTAACCCTTATAAAATTGCAAAATTTTGAAAAAAATAAATTTTAGCTGGACATAGCCAGATAGATTTGCCTGTTGATTCTGATCAAGAATATATATGATTTATAGGGTCGGAAATGTTTCCTTCACTTACTTAAATTAAAATGTCCTCTGCAGAGGTAGAAAAATTAAATACTTTAATTATCATATTTTACATTATACAGGCAATACTGTAATTGCCGTTACTTAGCCATTGCACCCACTGTACATTCTATTTATTATCTTCCTGTCTCTCCCCACAAATTTGTTGCTTTGAGGCTGCTGTTGCTTTTTATTTTATTTTATTTCTTAGTTTCACTTTTATTTAGCAAATTCTTGTCATCCCTTCTACTAACTTGCTCACTCTCCTTTCTCACGCTCCCTCAGCGAGTTCTCTTTGTTGCATTTTGTAATTTGAACTTCTTCTTTGCTCTTTGTTTTCCAGACGCAAAACTTTTCAACTCTTCACCCGCTCATTCCTGCTTAACCCTCTCTAGACTTTTTTGGCTTGACTTTAATTTAGTTAAAGTTGGAAAGCCACCCTACACTAGCAAACAAAGTTGAGGGCCTCTCAGGGGAAAGATCTGCAAATGCAACGACCCTTTGACACAATTATTGCATTTCTTACACAGTCAAAGTAATAAATACATTTTATTAAATCTTAACTGAAAATTTCTCAAAGAAAGATATAAGTTAAAAACCTAAATTATTTCAAATGTAACCTAGAAAGAATGTGCCTTTTACATTTATTAATATAATAATTAATTTAAATATTAGTTGGGAAATGTATTTATAATTTGTAAATAATATTACAATTTTTCCAGTGTACTCTATACATGATCCAAGTCCAGCTTAGAACCCAATAAAACATGCAATTGCAACAATTTTATGCCAAACTTTTTAACTTTTCTTCCAAACAACAAACTAAACAACAAAATAACCATACAAGGAACGAACGAGTAAAACGAACTGAACTTTGTTGCTAAAAAAGTTCAAACTGCAATTCATCTTCATCAACAAAAAGTATGCTACAAAATACGGAATAAAAGGTAATTTTGATCCAAGGAATACCCTTTAATATATAGTATTTTCAATTAATAAGATCGAAACATCAGTTAAAACAATTTATTAAATTTCAAATACTATAAATATTTTTAGTTTAGGGATTTAAAATAATTATAATACACCCATTTCCAGTAAATAATACAGGGTACCTTAAGAAAGTTTCAGTTACTTCGTCTTCTGTTTGTCAATAATGCAGCCCCCAAAAATCCAGTTACAAACTGAAGATTTCACTCTTTAAATTTTTAAGTAAACTTTGGTCCCATTTCTCGCCCACTCCACTTAGCATTTATCTTCATTTGTCGAAGGAGATGGAAAATGAAAAGGAAAAGCAGCAGAAGGACCTACAGAGCTGGAGCAGCTGTCAACAATTTGCCGACCGCAAAATTGTCGAGGGACCCAAGTGGGAGTGTTTGAAATTCGGCATAGGGATTGCGCCTGGACCACGCCTCCTTCGATTCTCTCGAGAAACTCACTAATTTGCTTGATTACTCCAGAGAGTTTTCAGAGGGCGGAGGAAATTTGAAATCTATTATAAAAGTTTTTTAGCCTCAAAATGAAGGCTCACTTGGGATCGCCGGGGGAAGAGATGTTCGGTTGTTGGGTGGCAAGATTGGGCGGAGGAAAATCATCTTCGGCGATGGCGTCGACATGGGTCAACACTTTGACACAGACAAGGACAAAGCCAAAAACTTCTTCAACAAAGGTGAAGAAAATAAAGGAAAAATAGTATGTAACAGCTGGGAAAAGAACAGTCGGGGAAATTGGGAATACTTGCTATGAAATTATATATTTAAAATGAATACAGTTAATGATTAATGGACTTATTTTGAATACTATATACTTTTCTCTTATATACTATAAAATTTAACTTTTTTTAAATATTTATTTTTGGAGAAATTCAATCTACAGCGTTTCCAATTTCAATTTGATTTAGCAATTTATTTACGTTAATGTCTTTATTTATACCGTTATTCAAATTCTGTTTCTTTTATAAGATTTCTATATTTTTATTTTACTTATTTAAAGGTTTGCAAAATTTTATTAGCTTTTTCTTTCAAGTGCGTTTCATAGCAGCTGAGAATTCTTGAACAAGTTTTTCTTGTCTTCATTTTCCTATTTTTTGTTCTTTTATCTTTTATTTTACAGGTGAGCTGGATATTTTTTTATGTCTAGCGTCTGTTCCACAACAAATCAAGTGCAAAGTGGATTCCTCCACTTCATATTATTGTTGTTGTTGTTGAAGAGAGTGAACTTTTGATTCTTGTTATTTTGTTTTTTGTGCCCCTCTACCTCTCTTCTCTGAGTTTTTTGGTCTTTGTTCTCCTTGATTGGTTTTTGTTTCTAGTGCGATGTACTAGAGACGGGAAATCAATGGGAAAGAAAACTCGAGTGATTTTCTTTTTTTTTTAGAGCTTCAACAATGTAATTCCTGAAGTGGGGCAACAGAAATTGAAGGACTAATGAGGACGAAAGGTTAACAAGATGATGGTTTTTGAAGGTTAAATTATTGGGCAAAGTTTTACTTGTTTAATTAAAGAAATGAAAAGGTACGACTTCTTAAGAAAGAAAGTTGTTGGAATACCAAGATTATATTGTATTTAATATATCATAATTTATACTTTTACTGAAGATTACAAAGTTTTATGAAATGAATTAATTTAAAGAAATGAAAAACCTACCAATTCTCTTCTTAATAATCCTATGCTGCTCTTCAAATCGTATTAATTTTCTTTTAAATATAACCATATCAATGCAAATTCAACATAATCCCTAACGCAGCAAAGAAAACTATGAAATCAAATGCCTGATGATTCCGTATTCCTTTGTGTTTAATCCCTGCCATAATTTTCCCAACCTCGCGGTTTTTAAGCGGCTTAAAATCGCCCTCAGCCCCAGGTTGGAGTTTTTCTTTGATCTGGGCAAGAATAACCTTTTAATGCGACTCAAGTTCAGGAGACTATAAATTACTCAGCTTTACAAAAAAAAAAAAAACATAAGAAAAAAATCAGGCCAGTAAAAACCAAAGAAAGAAAAGAATATAAAAAAATATGAGAACATTTCGGCACGCTTATCAAAGATAATTTTAAGCCGCATTTAAAAATGATTTCTTTGCTTTATTTTCGCACAGGCTCTCTGGCACGTTATGGCCCCCGCCCTTCAACCTCTTTTCCTCTTTTTTGTCGAGCTTCGCGACTTTTTTCGCTGACTGTGCGATGTCTGGCAACCCTGGAAGGACAGCTCTACAGGAAAAAGGACGAGGGAGAGAAGGTACGGGCACATTGGACCGCCACTGTTGACAGTCAGTGAACCCCGAAAAAGGAATGCCCACCATAAAAACAATGAAGGATATAAAGGGTTTTTTGGTTTAGTTTTTGTAATACTCCTTAAAAACAGTTTTAAAATTAAAATAATATTTAATGTGACCGTATTAAGTAAATAATAATATCATCCAAAGTGAAATTTAAAATTAAATTAAACTTTAAATGGGTACAGCTAGTTGTATCTGAGTTGGGCATTGCTCTTTTTTTGGTCAAGGACCCCAGATTCGCATCCTTTCACAGACCTCGAAAACCTGTGCGAGGACTTGGCCTCCTTTTCGTCCTTCCACTGCGACAATTGGATGAGCAAATGCTGACGAAAGGAGTGGCAGACTAGCTCCCTGGGTGTCGAGGAAGGCGGCAGCGGCGGCGCCAGGATGGAGGACTGAGCTTGGACTTTGTGCAAATATTTGACATGGCCAAAAGCAGACAGCGGCAAAGGGAATGGAAATGGGAACGAGAGCAACAGAGGGCCAACCAAGCCAGGACATCAGATTGGTGGGATGCAGCTCATTTTTTGAGCCGACTCTGGGGATTTTCCGAGCAGGGGTTTTTAGGTTTAGGACTCGTGTGTAATTAAGCAAAAATTCCAAATCGTTTGTACTCGCTGTCTGCCCTTTCTCTCTCCCTTTTTGTTGTTAATAATCACTTGTAAATAGATCAAAGTTGGCATTTTATTTGAATTCCTCATCACAGTAAGGAATTTTCGGTCATTGAAGTTGGCACCAGACTGAAAGTCTGGACAGGATTATGTTGACTAATTAGAGGTTGATGAGGGCCAGTTCATTGGGGAGTTGCTTTTCGAAAAATAGAGAAATGGGAAATGTGATAGGAAAGGTGGTTGAAGTAGTCCCAGTGGAATAAGGAAAGTTTGCTTTGAGGCTTTGACTTTTTGGCTTTAATTAATTGGGTAAGACTTTACAAATTCTAAAGGA